CCCAGAGCCCTGGAGCCCTGCAGCCCTGAAGCCCCAGAGCCCTGCAGCCCTGCAGCCCTGCAGCCCTGAAGCCCCAGAGCCCTGCAGCCCTGCAGCCCTGCAGCCCCGGAGCCCTGCAGCCCCAGAGCCCTGCAGCCCTGCAGCCCTGCAGCCCTGCAGCCCCGGAGCCCTGCAGATCCCACCCTGCCCGGGAGCGCTGGGCTCAGCAGCTGCGGGGGGCTCCGAGAGGGGACCGCGGTGCTCCGGGCCCTGCCGGCCCTGGCAGAGCCTGGGAGAGGGTTCCTGGCACGGGGACGGTCCCCAGCTCTGGCAGAGGGTCCCCAGCTCTGGCAGAGGGTCCCCAGCTCTGGCAGAGGGTCCCCAGCTCTGGCAGAGGGTCCCCAGCTCTGGCAGAGGGTCCCCAGCTCTGGGAGAGGGTCCCCAGCTCTGGCAGAGGGTCCCCAGCTCTGGCACCTGCCCGCTCCGTGCCTGGGGCTCTGTCCCGCGGCAGGAGGGGTCAGCCCGGGGGGGTTTGTGCCGACTCCACCCCCGAGGGGTCGCTAAAGCCGGGGGCAGCCCCGGAGCCACCAGCGCGGGGCCATCCCCTGTGTCCCTCTGTGTCCCCCTGTGTCCCCTGTGTCCCTCTGTGTCCCCTGTGTCCCTCTGTGTCCCCTGTGTCCCTCTGTGTCCCCTGTGTCCCTCTGTGTCCCCTGTGTCCCTCTGTGTCCCCTGTGTCCCTCTGTGTCCCCTGTGTCCCTCTGTGTCCCCTGTGTCCCTCTGTGTCCCCTGTGTCCCTCTGTGTCCCCTGTGTCCCTCTGTGTCCCCTGTGTCCCTCTGTGTCCCCTGTGTCCCTCTGTGTCCCCTGTGTCCCTCTGTGTCCCCTGTGTCCCTCTGTGTCCCCTGTGTCCCTCTGTGTCCCCTGTGTCCCTCTGTGTCCCCTGTGTCCCCCTGTGTCCCTCTGTGTCCCCTTTGTCCCCCTGTGTCCTCTGTGTCCCCCTGTGTCCCTGTGTCCCCCTGTGGTGTCCCTCTGTGTGTGTCCCCCTGTGTCCCTCTGTGTCCCCCTGTGTCCCTCTGTGTCCCTCTGTGGCCCCCTGTGTCCCCCTGTGTCCCTCTGTGTCCCCCTG